TGTACTATTCATCCTCCAGCCTCAGCCTCCTGAGTGCTGACACTACAGATGTGTACCACCTGCCCAGCCTCACACTATACATTTTTTTATCATAATTGTCAGAACCAGGGATAGAAAGAAGGTAGTGGATTGGTTAAAATGGACAGCTACCTGTCTGCCCTACATTGCAGTATAAGGGAAAGTATAAATTAGGTTAAAAAAAAATCCAGCACTTATTTACACAAATGAGCAACACTGGTAACATCAGGCCTAGGGCCTTTAAAATGCAACCTACTCTCTGTGAAAATTGTCCATCTGATGAAGAGTCTAGCAGGAAAAAAAATGAATTTTCAAATAATCTCCTTTCATGAAGGAGTATATGCAATGCCTAGGACAAGTCAGGTTCACACAGTAGGTGCCCACTAAGTACAGGCAAAACTCACTAAATAGCTTCTTAAGAAAACAAACTGAAACCAGATTTAGAAAAAACTGGATTGACCCTTGAAGGGCTCCCTTAGGGGAAAAGGAAAAAAAAACCCTAAGGCAACAAGTGAAATGACCCAGTAGATACAGTACGCTTTTGTTACAGACCTTGTAACAATAAGATCAAGAAACATTGTAACTAAGCCTTGGACAAAGAAGGTGGGAAAAAATGTAAATAACTGTTTTCCAAGGCTTTTCCAAGTTAAATGTGGATAAAGGCACAATACTTTGAAAGAAAAAATAAATAAAATTAATAGCTCACATCTCTAATCCCAATAGGAGGCTGAGATCTGAAGATCATGGTTCAAAGCCAAACCAAGCAGAAAGAGAGTCCCTGAAACTCTCATCTCCAATTAACCACCAAAAAGCCAGAAGTTGAGTTGTGGCTTGAGCAGAAAAAGCTAAGGGACAGCACCTAGGCCCTGAGTTCAAGCCCCAGAACTGGCACAAAAATTAACCAATTACTTTAAAAAAAAATAGGCTTACTATCACTTGTGGTTAATATGGCTTAATCAAAGTACAGAGTGAAATTCTCCACCCTTTTAAACCAGTGCATTATTTCTGTGTTGGAAAATATACATAATGAAACTGGAAACACTATCAGCCATCTAGACTCAGCTGCTAAAAAACTCTACAAAACGTCAACCTCATTTCAGATGCAGCTGCGCATTTTACTGCTTTTCACGAGCATTTATGTGCTGTTGTTTTTAATCCAATCTTTCAATTCTTAAACTATCTTTGACCAAGACATTTTGCCTATGCCTGATCTGGCTACAATGATCAATGTTTTGTTTTAACGTATAAATTCTTAAAAGAAAAGTGATGCCAACCTGAGGGAAAATTGAACCTGGCCAATTTTAACCTACTTTCTGACATTAATGTTTTTCTTTTTTAAAAAGTAAAATGGGTTTGTTGAGATATAATTCACATGCCATAAAACTCACATTTTAGTATCTTTGGAGTTGTGCAACCTTTGCCACAAACTAATTTTAGAACATTTGCATCACCCCAAAAAGAAACCCTGTACCCATTAGCAGGCACTCCCCAATCCCCCCGCCCCCCCTCCTGGCACCCACTTATCTCCCTTCCTTCTCTATGGACTGGCTTATTCTGAACATTTCATATCAACAGAATCATACAAGTTGTGGTCTTTTATGAAAACGGACTCCTAAATCTAATTTTATAATATTTTTTTCAAATCCACTGTTTTGAACTTAACATATTTGAACTTCTCTAATCCTTTTGACACATCAAACATTCCAGCTTTTAAAACTTGAAATACACACACACACACACACACACACACACACACCTCCACAAAACACCGTTTACTTGCTATTTCTCTCCAGAGAACCTAAATTATAATTTGCTATTTAGGTTCTTTCAAAAGTTCTTATTGTGGGTTCTCTTTCTGGTAGGTAATAAAACCCTAACTTCTCTAAGCACTAACATTTCACATACCTAAGGTTTCTCTAACAATAGGATGTAGCTGTGCCTGGAGCAGAAAGATGAAGTCCTTTTTAGAAGGTAGGCACCTTACCTTACCATTAAAGTGCACTCAGATTAAAAAACAAACAGCCATGGGACTCACTGGCTGTCCCTCATAGCTTCCAATGTCCCTCACTTGGAAGATCTGTTCACATTCTCAGGACACGAGGCAAACTGCATTTGCTTCACAAAACTACATTTTCTAAGTTAAAGATTTAAAAAACAAAACAAAACTAGATTGGCACCGTTGACTCATGCCTGTAATCCCTGCTACTCAGTAGACAGTTCTGAGGATTACAGTTCGGAGCCAACCCAGACAGGAAAAGTCTGTGAGATTCTTATTTCCAATTAACTAACAGAAAGCCAGAAGTGGATCTGTGGCTCAAGTGGTAAGAGCACTACCCTTGAGCACAAAAGCTAACGGACAGCACCCAGGGCCTAAGTTCAAGCCCCACGACCAACACAAAACTAGACAAAACAAGCTCATCCCACTACCGTCAACCTCCAAGATCCATAAATACGCCAACCAGATACCTTCAAATAAAACCCACAGCCTCTGTCTCCATCAACTGATGAACCTCGGAGAGAATGCCTGTCCTGTGCCTTTCTTCCGAGTAAAGTGGTCTAGCACCTTCCACACTGGACGAGTATGCCTCATTGCTCAGTGTAGAAGGGAAGGGCAGGCCCAGATTTGGAGGGGGGGGGTACCTTCTGATTTTCCCCTCAGGCTTTAAGAACGGAACCACTCAGGGTTGCAGGGATTAAAAACACACATTGAAATGCCTTTCCCTCCACCTTGTGTGTTCAAGAAATCACCAAACAGCAAGGGCAACATGCAGAGATCTTGGGGCAAGGGGGAATGGAAGGATGGGGAGGTGCAAGGCTTTGGGTTTCAAAACTGCATGCTTCAACAGCATTCCCTAATAGACGGACTCGCTCTCAGGTGTCTTCTAAACTTTTATTTCGATTTTAAAGTCTAGAAACGCTCCCATCTACCGCCACCGATGTCACCACCACCAGCCCCTCCAAAAGAACCACCACCTAAAATGCTTGAGTGGATAAGAAAGAGCCCGGAAGCTTTTCACCCAATCCCGTGTGCTCAAAGTTTGGAAAACAAAGAGCAGGAGAGCCCAGGATTGGGGAGGTCCGCCCTTCCCGAGGCCTCCCCCCCCCCCACCTCCCCTCTTTGCGCAGTAAACAGGCTAATTCCATAAAGCTCCGCTCTTAACTCCATCCTGAACTTGTTTCTTCAAAGACGTTGAGGCAAAATCTGTTTCGAGAAACAGCCTTTCTGAACTGCCCACCCAGCCACCTTCCTCTCCAGTTCCCGCCTCCGGGTTCTTCCCCATCGATCCTCAAGGCTGAGTCGAGGTTTACACACACACACACACACACACACACACACACACACACACACACACACACACACACACACACACACACACACACACACACACACACACACACACACACACACACACACACACACACACACACACACACACACACACACGTTAATAGGCACCACCTGCACACATACCCTGGGCAAACATTACTCACCAACTCGCCCTCACTTTGGGGGACTGCACTTAAAACTTGGAATCGTGTTCCGATTACCCTACCATCTCGAAAGCACCCGTCTACCACCACCACCACCACCCCTTTTTTTTCTGAGGGAAAGCAACGCCCCCCCCCACCTCTTTCTCCTGCCTGGTCTCACTTCCCTACTTCCCCGCTTTCCCCACCAGCCCCTACCCGACACCACCCTAACAAAAGCTATCCGATTGCAAGCGATAGCGCGTGCGGAGCCATCTCGCTGATTAACTGTGTACAAAGGCAGTGCGGGGCGCGGAGGCCACACAACTCTCCATCCACAACCACAACCAGATCCAGAACCAGAACCACGGCCCTTCACCCTCCACCGCGCCCCGGTCCCGGCGCTCCACGGCCCGCACAGCGCACGACACCGCGCGCCCCGGACCCCGCGCGGAGCCGTGCGGCGGCGGCGACACCCCGCACCGCGAGCACGTGCGCGCACGACGCGCCCCGGCTCCGTCCACCGGCCCGCGATCACCGCACACGCGGACGCGGTCCTGACCACCACACCCCACCCCTCCCTCCGGGAGGGAGACACTGGGAGAAGGTCCCCGAACCCTCTGGAACCTGGGGGGGGGGGTGGAGAAGGGGGAAGGGAAATCCAAGTCGCGCTCCCCGGGAAGAGCCAGGCTGGCGAAAGTCCTCGACCTCACGGGTCTCCCCACACACAAACACCCCACACCCCACCCCGGGACACCGGGGGAGAGCGGGAGCCCGCCGCGGGACGGGTTGAACTGGAGACACCCCCCCCCCCCGGGAGCGGCCAGGCAAAGCGAGTTAGGCTTGAGGAGGCCGCGCGCGCCGTGATGTTTGGAAACGTGTCCCGAGGTTGCGGGGGGGGGGGGGGGAAGAGCCTCCCCGCGGGGCACCTTCCCCACCCCCCAAGAACAACTCACACCCGACGGGGCGGGCGACTCCGCTCCCCACCCCGACACCCCCAACAGCGGCGCAGCCCAGGGGACCCCCCCCACCACCCACCCCGGTTTTACGTGGCCCGCGCACGCGGGAGGGGGGGCATGATGAGGATGGCGGCGGTGGGGGACCCCGGAATCGCATCCCCACACACACATACACACACCCGGGACCAACGTCCCAACCGGGTCCTGGTGCCTGGCGTGGCCAGTGAGCCAGCCGGGAGAGACCCCTGCCTGCCCACCCACCCAGCCACCCAGCCACCCACCCGGCCGCGGGACAGGGCGCTGGGGACAGAAAGCCTCCCCCCCACACACACACCCTCCCCACCCCCGCCCAGGCCCGGCCCAGAGCTCGAGGGGTCCCCCCCGTCGGGGTCCTCCTCAAGGGCCGAGCCCCCTCCGGGCTGCGCCCCGACCCTTTCCCGAGCCCGGGGTGGTGGAGGGAGCCCCCAATCAGCGGTGGGATTCGCCCCCCAGGCGCAGCCCCCCTCGGAGGAAAAGTTCCCGCGGCGGCGGCGGCGGCGGCGGGCGCGGACTCACTTTCTCCACTCGTCGGCCAGAGCGAGAGCGCGGCGGAGAGACACAGGAGCCCCCACAGCGAGGTCGGGGACCCTCCTCCGGAGCCAGACTTCATTCCTTTGATTTGGGACGAAATTCCCCTCTTTCCAAAGAAAAAGAAAAAAAAACCGAACAGAAATAAAAACAAGTCTCTAACTCCAGTCTCCGCTCCCCAAGCCAGAGCGATGCAAACAATCCTTGGCCCGGGGGGAGGGGGTGGGGGGGGAGCGCGGGCCCGGGGCCCGGCGGCGGCCGCGCGGACGGGGCGGGCGGCGCGGGGCGACCCCCTCAGCGCCGGCAGCAGCGGCCCGGGGCTCGGCGGAGTCGGCCAGCCGGGGTGCGCCGGGATGGGCTGTCGGCGTCGTCGGCCTCCATCTTCAAACCCCGAGGAAAACTGCAGAGAAAGGGGTGGGGTGGGGGCAGCGAGAAGCCCAAATCCCGTCTCGGCGAGCGGCCGCCTGGAGCTGCGGGGTCGCTGAAGCCGCCGGGGTCCGCGCACCTCCGCGGCGGGGAGCGGCGGGCGACGCCGGCGGCGAGACCGCCCCGAAGTGCAGGTCGCGCGGGGGAGGCCGGCGAGGGGCAGCGACGCGGGGTGGAAATGAATGAGCGGCGGCCCCTGCGCCTCCGCCGCCTCCGCGTCGTCCTCCGGGCTCCGCCGCCGCCGCCGCCTCCTCCTCCGCCCTCAGCGCCGCCGCCGCCGCCGCCGCGAGCTCCGTCCCGGAGCCAGGGCGCACACAAAGCGGCGGCCCGGCCCCGCCGCCCTCGGCGCTCCCGCCGCCGCCGCCGCCGCCGCCCGGGCTCCCCGCGCCGGGCCCCCCGCCCGCCCGCCGCCGCCGCCCGGGCTCCCCGCGCCGGGCCCCCCGCCCGCCCGCCGCCGCCGCCCGGGCTCCCCGCGCGGGGCTCCGGCTCGCTGAAGGTCAACGCCGTGGGGCGCCCCTCGCGCGGGCGGGAGGGGCGTGGAGGGTGCGGGGAGCGGGCCCGGGGTCTGCGGGCGGGCGGGCGGGCGCGCGGGGAGGGTGGAGGGGGGTGGACAGGCTCGCTGTGGCGTCCCTCGGGCCGCCTCGCCTCTCTTGCAGTCCGCCCGGTGCGCTCGCTCGCTCGCTCCTCGGGGTTTTTCCCCCCCCTTTTTTTTTCCGCTCAGCAGAGTTAATGCTGGTAAACAAGAGCCTCAGCCTCGCCGCCGCCGCGCCGCCGCCGCCGCCGCTGCCACACACTGGGGGCTCGCGCGCGCGCGCGCTCCGGGGAGAGGAGGGGGGCACGGGAGGAGGAGGACGCGCGCGCACGGGGCCGCGCACACGCACGTGCCCGCGCGCACTCTGGAGCGGCCACCGCCGCAGCCCGGGCGCGCCGAGGGCCGAGCCCTGAGTCGGTACACCGCAAGAACGGGAGTCGGGGATTCCAGGGACGTGCGGAACGGAGCTCGGGCGTGGGGCGCCGCGCTGCGAAGCACCGCCCCGCCTCCCTTCTCCTCCCTCCTTCCCTCCCCACGGCCCCGCCCGCGACCAGACACGCGCGCACACCAACACACGCGCGCGCGCGCGCCCACAGGCTCCCGCCTCCACCCCGCACTGCGCCGGCCACCCCGCACGCGCCCTCCCCGCACTCCCCCCCCTTGCCCTCCCGCAGGACTCCCAAAAACAATGTCCCCTGCGCGGGTTTCCCTCCCCCCCCACACACACACCCCGCTACTCTCGGGTGGACAGGGGCGGGGAAGAGGGCGGGGGGCGGGGCGCGGAGGGCGGTGGGCGGGGAGCGCGGGGCCCGACGAGGTTCATTGAAAACAACCGCCGCGCGGCTGGAAAGCCGTTTCCTCCGTTCTTGAAAAGCCCCATTGTTTCTTGCAGCTGTTGCAAAATAAATAAATAAGTGCGTTGTGCATGCGGCATTTTTTTTTCTCCGCAGCGTGCTGGAAAAGCCCGATCGTGGCGGGTGCGGCGCACCTGGGAGGAAAAGGGGAGCCCCCCTCCACACACACACACACACACACACACACACACACACTTCGCCAGGCTACTAAGCCCCGCACTTTTTCACGCGAGCCTGGGGCGCTCGTGTTGGCGTGAACAGTGGTGCCCAGCGTTCCGGAGGACCGGCGTGGTGCTGGGAGGGCGGCGGGCGGAGGCGGGGGGAGTGGGGAGGAGAAGAAAGGTGCCCGAGGAAGAGATCCCGCCGCGGGCTCCCAGTCCGGGAAGTGGGGAGGGGGTCCCCCCTCTACCCCTAGACAGGCGGCCCCGCGTGCCCAGGGCGCGTCCCCGCGGCGGCCGCCAGAGGGCGCGGCGGGCACTGGGCACGGTTGGCCCGCGGAGTGTCGCCTCCCTCCGGGGCAGGAAATGTGGGGGCCCCGGGTTGGGGTGGGATCGGGGAAGGGGGGGGACCGGTTCGGCTGGGTTGTTCCAGGCCTGACGCCCCCCCCTTCCTCCCCCGACAAGGGCTCCCGATCGCTGCGGGCTGCCCGGGACTCCACCACCACGTGGACAGCTGCGGGGAGCGGCCGCGGCGCGTGCACGGTGCGGGCTGCCGAACCCCAGAGCTGGGAGGAGGGGGGGCGTGTCCGAAGGGGGGGGAGACCCTCGCTCCCCTCCGGCTCCGGAAGGGATGGCGGGGGGAGGAGTGGGGAGCGGCGATCCTCACCCGGACACCCATCCTGGCTCGGGTCCCAAACCGAGATCGTGCCGCGCGCGCACCCGCCATCAGTGGCCACTGCGGAAACCCACCCGCACCTGCCACCGCGGGTCCCCTCGGGCTCGTCTCCGCCCCCCACACCCCACACCCCCTAATTGCTTCATTGGATACGTAAGTGATTGCAAACTAACGGGAGCCCCCCCTCCCGCGAAGTCCCCGGCGTGGGGTTCTCCACGGTGCGGGTGGAGAGGCTTCCCCGGGGCCGCCGCGCAGTGAGTAAACACGGTGAGTCCAGGTACCCGCCAGGGAGGGGCCCCGCCGCGGCCGCGGCGAGCACCCGGACTCACCGAGACTTGAAAACAGAGACTGGACCACGTGCCGCCCGCGTGTGGCCGCCTTTCCTGAGTCAGGCTAATTGAAGTCAATAATACATTATTTAAAAATTTAAATAGTAATACTACTAATAATAAAAGATGGCTAATAGACTTGGGAATGTCTGAATCGAGGAGTGTTGGTTTTTTTTTTTCTCATCAACAACCAGGATGGTTTCCTATAAGAAAGGTTTTGAACACACACACACACACACACACACACAGAATGACACGAGGTTTCTGTGTGCTACTGCCCTAGCCATCTTTCACAGATGATGTTGCAAATGAAGGACCATAAATAATAATTTTTTTAAAAAAATCAAAAGCTATCATAACGGAAACTTAGCCCTTTTTTATTCGGTATTTATTTTTCTACCTCAATTTTCCCTTTGGAAATTTTTATCTTCAATCAGTGAGTCGATTATATATATAGTCGATTATATATATTTTTCTTTTTTTTTTCTTTTTCTTTTTTGTTTACTGACTAAAGTTATGTATAAAGGGGTTGTCTTTTTTAAAACTAAAATTCAGCTTAATTGTTAAATGAAAATGTTCCAGTTGTAGGTTATTCCTACAACTAACAAAGAAATATATTAGGGCCTTAAGTTCAGCACTACATAGGAATCATTAAAAGCATTCTACTTGTTTTTTTAAAAACTAAAATTTAAAAAGTTCCCTGCATAAGGTGCCTTACTGCATACAAACCCATCCACTCTGATAGTTTCAGCAGAATAATTTAAGTGACAAAGAATATGGAAATTATATGTTCCTTGTATTTGGTGTTCCCTGGGGACACATGCAGAATTTTTTAATGCCTCCTTGTAAATTGCAGCAAAAGTTTAGCATTGATTTTTAGAAGGCTGTTGCAACAGAAAGCCTTTAAATACTATCTAGTTTGCTTTAAGTAATAAAAAAAAATACTAATTATTTTGTCCCTGAGAACATAAAGGAATATGTAGATTAAATAGAAACATAGTTATTTGTAGGGTTTGCAAAGGTTTCGATCCAGATTTATTCTTACTGGAAAGATCTTTCATCTGTGACGTTTTTAATATCTATTCCTAAAGTAGTAAGTCATCAATAAGATGAGTATTTAGATCATTTTTTCTTACATATTTATTTGTTATATTTATATTATTTATTAGCTTAATATTAACAAAAGGCAAATTTTAAGGCACCTCAGGGTTTTCACATGGCAAAAAAGATGATTTTTATTTTCTTCGGTGATTAGGTTCTACGCAAACTTAATCCTTTCCAATCTGGGAAATAGAATCTTGAAGACAAACACCAATGGTAGTCTTTGCTTTGTGACCATTCTGACAATACACCACACTTTTTAAGTTCTATACCATTTTTTCCTTGCCTAGGTATCTTATCAATTCTCTTTCTGTTGGAGAAGAAACTGGCTACTGGTTTTCTTTTTTTTTAGAAGAAAAGCTTGATAGCACGTTTAGTTCAAATTCTGCTGAATGCATTTGATTCCTCAAGGAGATAAGCATATATTAATGGAGACATACAAAAACAGTACAGAAAACAACTGACAAATAGTGCAGGTAATATAATATGTAGTGTTATATTCTCCACCGTTCACCTCCCCCCCCAAAAAAAAAGAATGTTATTCAGTAGTGATTGAATAAACTACAACCACATACAATATAGGCAGATCTTTCAAATACATTGTTAACTAAAAACACACCAGTTCCATGGAACTACGCACAGCATCACACCATTTTGATAAAACTCATAAAAGAAAAAAACAGCAAGGTAACTAAACACTTAATAAAAATATGTTTTTGCTTTGCTTTGTTTTTGGTTAGAGCAAGGAGACGTCCTTGGACACATGCAAAGTTCTTGAAAATGTGTCCATTGTTAGATTGGGTGGAGGACTTGTACACTTTCCTCCTCACCCTATGCTTTATAACCAACAGGTGTATATTTTTGCTTGTATTGAGTATCAAAGAAGACAATAAAAAATATTCAAGAGACCCATGAAAGAGATCTAGATTTTCTAATAAGACTTCTGAATTCCAAGTTGTTACCTAAAAAGATCAGAATTATTTTAAATAAAATGATACCATTAATCTTACTCTTAAGAGTACATTTCCAAAGAGTAACAACCCATGTTGTATCAATACAATGTAAGGCAAAAATGGTCAAACAAAACAAAGGAATTCTCTTAGCAGGACAACTGAGTTAATTTAAGAAG